GGGTTTTGCATTATAAATACACTTGTTGCCACATCATCTCAGCAGTTAAGTGTCACGACTCACCTAGACATTCAGCAACAGAGGACTGGCCAGACCGCTTTCCTTCCGTGGGGCGTCATGCACGTGCTGAAGCTGTAGGCGCTGGGACCAGGAGGCGGCATGGAGAATGCCCAGGATAGGACATAAACAAAACAGAGCAGGACGCGAGGCTGTGTGTCAGCAAAGATTGCTAAGATGTCAAACTCCCAGGGGGGAAGGAATCCCTGGAACAGCTCACAGGCGGAGCAGCAGGCACAGCGGATGGTTTCCCGTCATTTCGAGTCCTTTATGGCGCTTTTTATGCATAAATAGAAACCAAAGGGGAGAAAACTCGCCTCTTACAATCCACCTTCCATTTTGGGTAGAGGTGAGGAGGGGACAAAGCTTAGCTATGTGGCACCCAGAATTAAATCCATGAAGAGAATAGATGAAGGGGATGATATAACAGCCCAAGCAATAAAAATAGGCGACACCCTCCGGACCTACTCCCGGGATTGGTGGCCACTGTTCCAGTCTCCCAGATTTGGTAGCAGCTGGCAGGTCTTGGTGACAACTCCTGCCCCAGCTTAAGGCTGCTCTCTGCTGTGGCTCAGTAGAAACGAGCTTCCCAGAAGAGGAAGCGAGTCGGGCAAAGCAGATCCTCAGACTTGGTTGAAGCCCTGCCTGGGCCCAGCAGAGGCTGGGACACGGCAGATGGCCTGGTGATGGGTCAGCCACTGGCCAAGAGCCCTTGGTCTGCCCAGCACTTTCTGTCCGTGGAGCAACTGCTCCTCATGTGACCTGGTGGTTAAGGGAGTGGACTCCGGGGTTGGGCTGACTTCAGCGGCGTTGCCACTTGGTAGCTGAGACCCTTGGGCAAGTTAGGCCACCTCTTGATGCCTTGGTTTCTCCTCTGCAGATGGAGGGTCTCTCACCTGAGCTGTAAGGGGTAGCTGCTGTAGGGGTGGTGGCCTCTTACCTTACTGTGCCAGCACCCTTCAAACTGAGGGTGGGTTCAGTGGGAGGTCAGTAGTGGCCTTCGAGGGAGTTCTTCTAGTAGGACAGTGGGGTGGAAGTAGCCAGGAGCCACGGAGGGGTCCACCAATGCGGAGCACATGGAGACATCTCTGCAAAACAGTCTCTGAGTGAAAATGGTGAGAACTGGCAGAGGCAGCAAAAGGGAAGGAAGGTTCTTTTGAAGATGGGTGAGCGAACCCCAAATAAGGGAGAAATGCAGGATTCAAGGACAAAGAGCATAAGCCCAATGAGGACAGGGTCTTTGGTCCCTTGGTAGCCCCTTGGCCTGGAATGGGGCCCGGCCCTGAGCCAGCAGTTGTGAGGGCCGTGTGGGCAGCCTGCCCGTCCCCGTGTGCGGGCCCAGCACATGGTGCAGGCCCGGCCCTGACAAGAGAAGGACATGGAGAGGGCGGGCACACTCCAGGCAGGAAGACAAGGGGGACGCAGAGTCAGGCCTCCATCCTGCTGGCGGCGGGGGGTCTCCAGTTTGAGCCTCAGGAGAAGTGGGAGGCAGCGGCAGGAGCCCCTGGGAGGCAGAAGTGGGCAGAGAACCAGCAGGGAAGGAACAGGTGAGGACCCTGCACAAGAGCAAGATGAAAACAACGTGCCTAGAAAAACCCAGACCTGGGAGCCAGGTGACCGAAGCTAATGGCGAATCAGTGTCTGTAAGGTCAAAGTCGATAGTCCTCAAAACCAAAACGGAGGCAGGGAGTTAGACATCACATTAAAAACCGCTAAGGACTCCAGCCTCTCAATGTTTTTCGTACATTTCCAGCCTTCTGGGAAATGATATTTATGGTGTGACAAAATGTTCTTTTGAAGTTCAGCAATTCCTTCAGTTCTAAGTAAAATTGTTAATGCACTATTAAAATTAAAATTAACATCAAGAGAAGGATCTCGTTTTTATAAAATATTTTAAATCTCTTCTATTTATATCTGGGTCTTGAAATGCTACTGTTGTTAATTTCTAGGGGGTTGGACTACAGTGGGTTTTTTTTAACATTCATTTGTGTACTTTTCTGTACTATTTGTATTCATTTGTAGCAAATATGAATGATTTTTGCAAAAATATTTGTGATTTTGTTTTTCTTTCAAAAAGCAATATAAGGCAGGGTGCGGTGGCTCACGCCTGTAATCCCAGCACTCTGGGAGACTGAGGCGGGAGGATGGCTTGAGGTCAGGAGTTCAAGACCAGCCTGAGCAAGAGCGAGACCCCATCTCTACCAAAAATAGAAAAAATTAGCTGGGTGTGGTGGTGTGCACCTGTAGTCCCAGCTACTTGGGAGGCTGAGGCAGGAGGATCACTTGAGCCCAGGAGTTGGAGGCTGCAGTGAGCTACGATGATGCCACTGCACTCTAGCCAGGCAACAGAGCTAGACTCTATCTAAATAAATAAATAAGCAATATAAAAGATCTTACAGTCATTACACTGAATGGAGGTAATCTGCATGGATTAGTATTCCCATCTTGGTGCTTTTCTGTATTTTTTTTTTTTTTCAGTAAAAAGTAAAGGCTATGGAGCAGCAGGCGGGCCTGACAGCATGAGCTTTACTTTATGATTTTTATTTCCGACAACACTTCTCCAGACAGAAAATGTAAGGGCGGGTTTCCACTGCAGGGGTAGGGAAGGGGAAGAGGAAGTGGGTGTGGCAAATGCCCCCCCCCGGGGGGTAGAGTGGCCCCTGGCTGCAGGCACTGACCCTGGCCTTACTCTCTACCTCCAGCCTGTGGGAAACGGTCAGGCATGAGGCGTGATGGCCCCGTCGTGGCTGGACGTCCATGCATTGTGCCCCTGGCCCACTCTGAACGCAAGAGATCCATGTTCTCAAAACCTCCCTCCCCTAGAGATGATGCCACACGCCAGGCTCCCCTCTGGCTGCCACACCTGCCCTGTCCTCCACCCCTCCCCCTCTCCCACCTGCTGCCCTGCTGCTCACACCCTTGTGGAAGCCTCGTGCTCCCGCCACCGGCTCCTGTTCTCTCCTCATCCACAGACACTGGGCCGGGGCCCTTGGGTCCCGCTAGCAGACCCTGCCTGAATCTCTCCTGGGACTCACCCTCAGGGCGTGAGCGACGGCTGGGCAGCTGCTGGCGCAGCCTGTCTGAAGACAGCCCTGCTCAGCGCCTCCTTCAGAAGGAGAGGGCACAGGGTTTTGGTGTCCAGAGCACCAAACCCCAAGAAGTATCCAAGCAACCTGTAGAGGACAACCCCTGGACAATCCCAGAGCTCTCCTGGCAGCATCTAACAATTCTTGCCTTGCTTTCATTATTGCCATTCATTCATTCACTCACTGACTCACACACTCACTGCAGGGCAGCCTGTACACGTGAAGTCTGCAGTGTGCGTCCTTAGCCAGACAGGTGAGTGGGGAGATGGCAGGGAGACAGGGACATCTAGGGGAGCCGCAGCACCCCCCTTCTGCTGGGAGCGGGGCAGGCCAGCTGGCCCCTCCAGGGCTCTGGCTGTGCATCCAAAGAGCTTGCAAGGGACCCTGGGAAAGGCGGGCTCAGGCCAGCAGTTTCTGAGCTTGTCTCCACCACGACTCCTTTTACTATTTGCACAACTCTTCCCCTCCTGCCCTCCCACCCTGTGTTTCAAAAACCATAGTCTATCAGGAAAATGACGCCAATTAAGCAATAAGAAAACAACCGAAGTTGCATGGCACCGGACCCATGCGATCCTGACCCCAAACAGGAAGTCCTGCCCTCTTGATTAGCCTGAATCACCTTCTTTTAGGTCAGTGTGGGGTTTCTGCTGGGCTTCCTGAAATACGTAGCAAAGCCCCCAGCTCTTATCTATTAGGTTTTTCTGTTACAATGGTGACGCCCCCCGCCCCCGCCGTGGCAGCCTGGGGCTCTGCTCTCTTCCAGCCTCATCCTCAGGCCCCCAGTGGCACCCAGATGGCTGCCAGCAGCTCCAGAGCTACACCCCCTCAGGTCAGAGTCCAGAGAGATGAAGTCGCGTCAACCTGAGTCCGTGGGGTCACTCTGACCTGACCGACTGGGTCCCTGAGCCCTCTCCAATCCCTCCCGCAGCTGTGGGCACTGATGTCCTGACTGGCTAGCCCTGGGTGCCCCATCCCGTACCTGTGTCTGAACCCCCCAGAATCCCCCAGTGTAGGGTGGCCCCCGAGGGGGTCCTGGCACCAGGGCACCCTCCAGTGCTGCCCTCATAGACTCAAGCGCTGGGGGGCAGTGAGCCCCTACCATGTTCCGTGAGGGCTGCAGAACCACCTGCCATCACCAGAGGAGAGCTCTGGGCTTCTCCCCCGGAAGCGCATTCCCGCATGCTTCCCGTCCGAGGGGACAGCCCGGGACGGTCACTGCAGCCTCTGGTTTCTAGCCTCCATTGACCTCTTGCCTTGGAGGCGCTGGTGTGTTTCACATCTGTCTCCATCCCCTTGGCGTGGGGTCCCTGCCTGGAGCCCCCCTCTTCTGGGTGGGCACGCTGCTCCTGTTGGCACCTCGTGATGTCACCAAACCCGCCTGGGTCCTGCCTGGCATTTGTGACAACCTGAAAATTTCCCAAAACATTTAGGTTCCCGGGAACATGACACAGGTTGGAAGTGGGACAGGCAGGGACAGAAGAGAAGACAAGCAATGGTGTCAGGCACTGCTGCTTCCCAAGCCCCTCCCCTCCCTGTCCCTCCCGACATCTCAGGCGCCAGACACACTCCGGTGGGGTGAGCTCCTTCCGATCCAGGGGGCTGCCGGGAGGGCTGCTTGGGAATCTGCGAGGCCTGGTCGCCTCGCCCACTGCTGTCTGTCCCGCGAGGCCTGCAGACAGACCCACACTCACGGCAGCTCACAGCTGTCCTCAGGCCCCGGGGCCCACCCTTCCCCTTCCCCTTCCTCCAAGAACACACAGCCCAACACCGAGGCTCACAACCCACACACCCCACCCCATAAAGAAAGAATTACAGCATGGGTTTTGACAAAACAATGACTGTTTAAAAAATAAATGTTACATTTGACATACAAAAAGGCATTTTAAAAACCTTTTAAAAAGGCATTTGCTCTGAATGTGTCTCATCATCTCAGGCATCTTTAAGTTTCCAGTGTTTCCAGTATTTCCACAAAAACCAGTGGTAGTTTCCCTCGCTGAAGAAAAGCATGGCGCATTCTTGCTGCTTGGCAGTGCGTGGTCCTCACGCTCACGCCTCCCACCCCACAGGGAACAGCCCCTCTGCTCCTCACCTGGCAGGAGCCCAGACCCCAAGTTCCCAGCGCGGGGCAGGGAGTGCAGGGACTCGACCCAGATGCACCAGGCCCCGCCCCTGCCTGGTTCTGCTGCTGCTGCAGCCTCTCAGCCTGTTCCAACTTGACCGCCCCGGATGGAATCTCGGCTCTCACTCAGGCACAGGCAGGGACGAGCTCCTGGGACCCAGCAGAGGCTCTGCCCTGGGGTCTGCTGTCCCCCAGCTCTTCTGGGTGAACACAACCGGGAGGGGCAGACTGTACAGGGCACGTCCCGGAGGAATGGAGGCAAACGAGGTTCTTGATTGCCAGCTAATCCAGGGTCCTTTCCTCCGGCACTTGTGCACCTCCTAACGCTTTATTATGGACCCTTCTAGACTTCTGTGGGGTAAAGCTAAGGCTCAAAACTGTTCACGCTTTCAAAGCTAACTACTGGCCATTCAAATACACTCAATACAGTTCTCAGCAAGTGAAAATGTGCCTACCCCTCCCATACCAAGGCACAGCAAAGATGCAGAGACGGCCTTGGAGACATGTGAGAGGAAGACAAGGGTTTGAAACAAGATCATCCTTGGGAATCACATAAGCAGAAGCGTAATTAATCCAATGCTCCAAATGTCCCTTCCCACGCGTGGGTCACACACAGACACGCAAGTCCCCCCTGACCTGCTTTGCAAACGGAGATGCTCCCAAAAGTCGGCTGGAGGGAGGTTTCATCTAAGGGATCACTTTCCCCGTGGCTTGCTGCAGTGTCAGAAATGCATCCTCAACTTCCTCGCCCTCCCTGTCTCGTGCGCTGGCGGCGTGAGTTTGCACTTTGCTCAGCCACGAGCTGAGGGAGCTGCAGTTTCTCACTCGCACCCCACCCCGAGCTGCTGACCGAGGCCTGGAGAACCGAGTATGTGTCTGTCCCTGGAAGGCATCTGCTGTCGCGAGTCTTCCAAGAACATATGCTGCCTTGGGTTCCCGCTCTCTCACCCGGGTGGAGACACGTTTTGCAGGAAAGACTGATACACAAGGGGAGGGAGAGTTCTGCTCTAGAAAGGGCGGGATGTGGGTTTTTGTCTTATATGGAGACTACACAGTATGCAGCAAAGAACACACCAGCGTCCAACGCAAACCCTCATCCAAGCAACCGAAGACGGAAACGGGACTGCACTCACTGCTGCCTGGGCTGACGCTGGCTGGTCAGTGGGCAGGAGATAAAAGCAGGCAGGACCATCACAGAATAAATCTGCACTTCCGCTAGGCAACTCCAGTCACGGCGGTTAAAATGCTCGGAGCCCCAAGGGCAGAGCAGCACCAACTGAGATGTTCTTATTGCATTATCAGTTTAGATGCCCTCTCAGGTTCCGATTAGCTGCCAAATGCTGGTAAGTTTGGAGGAGCTACCTTCTTCCCCGTGGAAATGTCACCTGAACAATACAATTAGCACCTCTCCAAGTGCTAGGGCCTCTTCATGGCGGGTGGCACTCAGAGTGGGACAGTCACAGGGAGAGGGAACTTGCTGAGGCAGATGGTCGTCAGTCCCGTGAGCTGATGGCTGGGGATGAATGGCCCCCCATGGGCCACGTGGCCGGAGACATTTATTTGGAGGCAACAGACCTTCCTTGGCCCTTTCCCCTCCAGAGTCTCATTTGCAGGGTGATCAGGTGCGATGACGACCTGCCACCATGGCCACCTCGTCTTCCTGACCGCTGGCCTTTCCTGGGCCCTGTCTGTTCTCTGACACTGGGACGCTGCCGAGCAGCTTTCCCACCGTGGAGTGGGGTCCACCGGAGCCCCGTGTGCTTAGGATGAAGACGGAGCTGGGTAAAGCTGTGGCAGAAGCTGCTTACGTGAGGCGGCGTCTATCTCGCAGGAAAAGATAGTCGTTCCTGAAAACCAAATTCTAGGAATTGGCCCCTGATGGAAGAAGTCTCTGCCTTCCTTCTCCGTCACACGCTCCCTGCTCTCCGCCTGGGCTCCGTGAGACCCGGGGCAGGAGCAGCACACAGAGCAGGCGGCTCCCCCGCGCCAGGGAGCCCAGGCCCTGCACATGTGGAATATTCAAGGGAATCTTCTGGGACATGAGTCCAAATGGTAGGATGCTTTGGTTATGCTACTAACTTGCGGGCCCAAGAGTGGGAAGAAGCATTGTCTGAAGAGAAACAAGCAACAGGGAAAAGCAACAAGAAGAGACTATTTCAACTTAAAGTTAGCAGAAAAATTTGCTCCCAGGTTGGGAACAGAATCAGCCTACGACGACAGCCTAGAAGGCCCCTCGCGTCCTTCCCTGCCTCAAATGATAAGACTGCTTGCTCTGGGGATGCTGACCAACACGGTCTCCCAAAGGAGGGGCGCTTCTGCCCTCAGAGGCCCCCGAGTGCACACATGGGCTCCTCACTCTGGACTCACCCGTCCCAACCGAAACCTGGACCCTGGTGACTGCGGCTGCACAGCAGGGCGTCTGGGAACACAGCTCTGGGATCCTAGAGACCTGGGTTCCGAGTGGGCGGCTCACTGTCCTGTTGTCTTTAGACAGCAGTTCCCTAACCTGAGCTTCAGGGCCAAACTCATCAGGGGACCAGGATCGCAGAACCTACTTCATGGGGTTGTCAAAGGCTCAGATGAGATCCCACCACCGAGGGCGGGGCAGCCCGAGGGCACCGCCTCTGCGCCAACCTGAGGCCAGCACCTTCCGGCCTCCCCGCGTGGGCTGGGCACAGGTCCTCCCTTCAGAGCTGGGGGGGGGGAAGTGGGACTAGAGCAGTGTTTTGCAAATTCTGTATCACTCAATTTAGTCAATTACAAACAGCATTTTTTTAAAAGGGAAAACTAGAAAACAGAGGGTGCCTCGGATCCTGCCAGTACGAAATTCTTTATAAAACTTGCTTGAGACAGAGACTGATGTACAAATGGGCTGAGGCACGATGGAAACACGTTCTCGTGTGGATCACGATCTGAACAGTGTGGGAACCGCCAGCCTGGGGGCTCTTGGTTCTGAGGCTCTCCCCTTCCTAGCGCAGGGTGGCAGGAGAAGGGCTGGGTGGGAGCAGAGGAATTCGGACTTGCCCAGTGTGATTTTCAGAAAGCACTTGATTCTGGAAAGGAGCCCTTTGGCATTTTGGCCCCCTCCCCACTCCCAGACAAGCACTGTCCACAGATAAACGGTACACGCTGAAGCAAGTCATTCTTCTGAGTAAGAACAGGACATTCTAGGCCCAGGCCGGGCAGTGACTCACCATTATTCAGAAATGGTGACATCAGGGCCTGCTCACCCTTGATCCTGGAGGGATACTTGGGCATGTGAAGGCCCCTTTCCCTCCGGTGTTGCAACCGCAGAGGAGTAAGTTCCTAAAGAACAGATGGGGAGTGCTGGGGCCAGGCGCCCAGGGAGGGAGCACGGCCGGCCGGGAACCTGCCGCCAGGGGAGGCCACCACCCCAGATGGCCCGGTGGCGGGACGGTGCAAGGGCTCCCCCATGTGGCCATAGGCGGGACTTCGGCCACAAGCACCGCGCCCGCCCCCATGTGCCGGCCCGGCCCAGCCCAGCAGACAGAGAGGGAGGCCTCTGGGCCCAGGCACTGTGGTTCTGTTCCGCCAAGGGTAGCTCTCTGGGTATAAAGAGATGCTCCCTCTGGCCTGGGTCGAAGTGCCCGTCCTGCGAGAGCCGCTGGCTCGGGAACCACCTCACAGGCACACGTCTCGAAGGAAAGCCGGAATCTTTCAAATTCACAGCCTTGAAGAAAGTGTAAACAATCCAAAGTAGAGAAACAGACTTCGTGATGCTCCTTCTCACCAAATGAAAGCCCTCTCCCGGAACATTCTGCAGGACGTGAAACTGCGCTTGCCCGACACAGAGTGTGACTTTAAGACAGGGGAGGTCACACAGAAAACTGCCCTTCACTATGTGGGAAGTTGAACAAACAAAATTACAGGTGTCCTGGGAATTTTGCTTTTTGTTGTTTTTTAAAAGAATTTCAGAACCCTTCTTGGGGGTTTCGGAAAAACAGGTATTACTGGCCTGCGGCTTCTCAGCAGCAGAGACTCTTGCTTGTAGCCTGTGCTCGCAGAGAAGCTACCTATTCCCTGTCCCGGGTGCTGCAGAGGTGGCAGGAGACCAGCAGGAGGTGGCAGGCTGTCACCACCGAGAGGCACAGTGAGAAGGGCTGGCTGCAGCCCTGTAACCCGCCAATTAAGGCCCTGAAAAGGCTGTGGGCAGCTGCTGCCCACCAGGGAGGCCGGGCTCTTGAGTGGTCGGATCAGAGCCACCTGGACGGCCCAGTGTCACTCAACACACATCTCTCCCACCAAGTGGGCTGTTGCCATCGGTAAACGATTTAACTGGATCCTTACAAGAGAGGCTACGGAGATTGGAAACGCCCACCGGGGAGTCCCCTGAGATGTAAGTGGCCCTCTTACATTAGGGATCCCTGGAACGGCCTGGCCATCTGTACCCAGCATGCTCCAGAGAAGGAGGCCAGCTTGAGAGGACAGAGGGCAGGGGTCCTCCCCAGGGAAGCTGGGGGAACTGGACCCCACCTTCCCTTGCAGAGCAGTCAGCAACCGTAGATTTCTGGAAACTTTTGACTAGTATTTGCTGCCATATTCCTTCATCACCCCTCGTCTCTCTAGAAATCTGAGCAACAGCAAAGAAGCAGAGAGGGGACCGGGAACACCCACTGCACCGTCAGGGTGGAGGAGAGAGGGAGGGGCCAGCGACGGGGAGCAGGTGGAGGCCGCTGGAAGAGGCAGGGACAGAGGCTGACTGTGCAGAGGCTCTAGGACGAGGGGGGCTGGAGGAAGCAAGACCCCACCCTGCTCAAGGTCTCTGAACGGTCCCTGGAGTCACTGCTTTGCACAGGGCGCTGCACTCCCCTGGGTGCCTCTGCGCCCTTCTCTCTGCCAATCACACTCCTCTTTTCCACGGGAGCCAGTTCAAGGATCACCTGCTCCAGGAAACTCCCTGATTAAGCCCAGCCCACCGCGTTCCCTCTTCTGAACCTGGAAGCTTTTGCTCCTTCCTATTTTGGGCGTGTTGATATTAACATGTGATTACTGTAGGCCTTTTCTTAAGGGTTCCCTCCTGACCTGGATTTGAAGCTTCTTGGGAGCAGAGATTCCATTTCTCCCTTGTGTCTGCAGCTATCCACCGCAGCTAGACAGGACGACTGCCAAAGGCACTGGGACAGGGCCCTGTCCTGCCCTCTCTGGGGCCTGACTCCGGGGCATCAGATTCCAGAGAGCCGGGGCATACAGGGCAGGTGGCGGGGCTAAGAGGGCAGGGAACGAGGCAGGTGGGGACAGCTCGGGAGTGGAGTGGGCGAAGGGAAAAGGCACCATCATCCCAGGAATGCCTCGTAGTCCATGTACCAAACCAGCTGGCCAGAAGTAGGCAGGACGCCCGAGATGGGCCACTTCCTGGGCTCGTGGCCCACACGGCTCACCAGCAGGGTGATCTCACGCTTCATCCTGCCCATGACCAGGACCGCCACCTTCTTGGCGCGGTTGATGAGGGGCAGACTGAGGCTCATGCGGTGGTGCGGCCGGAAGGGGCTCTTGGTCAGCACCACCAGCTGCTCGCCGTCCAGGCCAGCGGGCGACTGTGGGAAGAGCGAGGCCGTGTGCCCGTCGGTGCCCATGCCCAGCAGCACCAGGTCGAAGCTGCTGTTGGTCACCAGGGCTGAGATCTCCCTGGCGTAGATCTGGGTGCCCTGGTCCTCCTCGGCGCAGAGCCGCTGGTGCAGGTGCACGGGCATGGGGTGGATGTTGTAGTAGGGGACCCTGATGTGCTGCAGCAGGTGAGCCTGCAGGCCCTGGAAGTTTGACTCCGGGTCGGAAAGTGGGACGCAGCGTTCGTCGACCAGCCACAGGTGCGTGTGGGCCCAGGGGAAGCTATAGTGCCCCATAGCCAGCTGCTGGAACAGGGCCACCGGGCTTGAGCCACCCGAGAGCGCCAGGTGGAACTCGCCGAAGCGCTGCACGGCCCGCACAGCTGTGGCCTCGATGTCGTCGGCCAGCTTAGAGATCAGCTCCTCGGGCCAGGCCGAGATCAGTGGGCTCTCTCGGTACTTGGCCCTGAGGACCTGGAACGCACTGGGCACCGGGACAGACCCTGGCCCGGGCACCAGCTGCTCCAGCTGCTGCTGGGAGAAGGACAGCTGGCCGCCACTGAACTCAAAGTCCAACAGGTGGCCGTTCTCAGCCCCTCCCGGGTAGAGGCGTGGGACCTCGTGGGCCAGGCTGTCCAGCACAGGGGTCCAGAAGACCCAGGAGGCCAGCAGGTTCTCCGTGGTGATGAAGGAGTCCTTCCGGCAGTGGAAGATATGCGCTAAGAGGATGGAGTAGGCGTCCCGCTCCGTCACGGGGCTGTAGGCGTAGTAATCAGACAGAGGGCGGCCAAAGAGGCGGAGCCCGGGCCGGTCCTCCATCTCCATCCAGCTCTCGGAGGGCAGCGAGGGCCTGAACAGGTTCCTGCTGACCAGCACGGCGGGGCCGCCCAGGTCGCCGTGCCCGATGTGGAAGACGATCTGTCGGGGCAGGCACTGGCTCTGCTCCACGGCCCAGTGCTTTTCACTCTGGACACAATACGCCCGGTTCTTGAACAAGACCCGAACGTAGCCCACTCTCTCGTCCA